TGCTCAGGAGCTACCTTCCTCAGGAGGATGTATTGAACTTCCCTCCAGGCTGGTTTCAGGCATCTCCTTGGTGGTTCAGGTCATTGAGCAGGAGAGGCAAACCTGGGATTCAAGTCTGAGCAACCTGATCCCTGTATTTCGTACAGAAGGCACCATGCACATCCCCTAACACCCTCCTTAACTTTTTATTATGAGCATTTTCACACATACACCAAAGCAGTGCATATGGATTAGTAGTGAACTCCTATGTACCTGTTATTCAGCTTTACTTCCTCTTTCATGAAACTCCCTCCTCCAGAAGTTTCCAAAATATCTCCCTCATCTCTGCTTCTTTCAGCCTTCTGGCCACTTCTTTGTGAATCCCTTTTCCTCCATCTGTCTGAAGTCTTCCTGCTACTCCATTCTTGCATGGTCACCTTCCCCTTGCAAGAACTCAGCACATGGCCCAGACCTCATCAATGACCCTACTCTCAGTAGCAGAATGATATGAAACAATCAGAAAAGGGTTAAGGGCATGTTATGGAGTCATAGACTTGCATTGAATCCCAGCTCAACCACCTAATAGCTGTGTGACTTGTAAAAGTCACTTAACCTTTCAAGGAATCAGCTTCCTTTTCTGTAAAGTGAGAATCAAATGAGATAATATAGAGGGTTTTTAGGAGGGTTTTATAAGGTTATGTATATAAATCATGCATTTGATGCTAGCTGTCTCTCTCCTGCAGTTGTCTGAGAACTTCATGGAAGCAGGGATGAGTTCTAGTTTTCTTTGTATTCCTAGTGCCTAAAAGGGTGCCTGGCACAAAGTAGGTGTTCAATAAATGCTTACAGATTAATAAAGCATAACAGAGCCTGGCAGGGGAGGTTTTACCAAAAATGGAGCTATGTTTAGTGGTAGAGTGTCCTAGAAATTGTCTCCTATAGTGCTGGCATGGGCTTACTGGTTTCCTGTCTGACCATTTTTGCCTGCAGTGTGCTCCAGGCTACAATGGACAGAACTGTTCAGAGGAATCCGATGCTTGTCAATCCCAGCCCTGTCACAACCATGGAACTTGCACCCACAAACCTGGAGGTTTCCACTGCATCTGCCCTCCAGGCTTTGTGGGACTGCGCTGTGAGGGGGACGTGGATGAGTGTCTGGACCAGCCCTGCCACCCCACAGGAACTGCAGCCTGCCACTCTCTAGCCAATGCCTTCTATTGCCAGTGTCTGCCTGGACATACAGGTGAGGCCTAGGATTGGACACAGGCATCTCTGTGGAACACCTGAGCTGACTGTGGAAACCCAGACAATCCCCTTCCACAAAAGGCAGCCTAGTCATCTTGTCCAGACCCCTGCCTCCATGCCACAACCCAAAGAATATGCCGCAGGATCCCTTTTGCCTATGCGGCTAATGCTGAGCTGACTCCCAGGAATGAGCTAGAAAGGAGGCAGTGACTAAAGCAGTGTGTGACATCTAATCCCACCCTCACCACAGGCCAGTGGTGTGAAATGGAGATAGAGCCCTGCCAGAGCCAGCCCTGCTCCCATGGAGGGTCTTGTGAAGCCACAGCAGGACCATCCCCAGGTTTTATCTGCCATTGCCCTCCGGTGAGTGACCTGAAAAGTTGCCTTCTCTGTTGCCCCCAACACTAACACAAGATGCTAATGCAGGGATCCTAGAGGGAAGCCTTGGGAGCACTGGAGTGGGAATTATTAGAGAAAGCCATTCTATGTTCACAGTGGTGAGTGGCTCTCAGAAGCAGACAGCAGGGTGGGGAGTGGGAGGCAGGATCAGCATGAATGGAATTTTCAGAAATCATGGGCATTGCCTAAGGGAAGGTCCCCAAGGTCAAGCTGGGTGACCTTGAATAAGTTCTTATTAGTTCTTTGCATTGTGTGTATGTGTATGGACCTCAGATGCATGAAATTGTGTTAATCTTAAACTTTGGTTCCTGAAACACTAACATAACTGGTTTGTGCATGGCTTTATTTTATTATTCTTACAATATAACACCCATGAATCCAATCTGAAAATTACAATATTAATGATAACTTACACTTACTTATGTCCTCCTCTATCCTATTCCCTTCCCAAAGAAGTATATAATTCTATCTCCATGGATTAAGATAGTATTAGTTCAATTACTATTACTCTATTAACTGTTTAGTCTTCCAGGACTTGCGTCGTGATGCCACAGTTCATCGGGGCTGTGTACACAGCTGTATTTCATCCATTTTCACCATACTGTAATGTCGATCATAATGTGAAAAAAAACACGAGACATGACTTCAACATCTGTAAAATGAACTTAATGCTCTGAGGCATCTTCCAGATATAATACTCTGGGACCTTCTGAGTTATCTTAACCAAGGAGTTTGCTTGAGGGGAAGTGGGAAGAATAATACAAGGTCCTTCCACAACTTCTCTCCTTTCTGCAGGGTTTTGAAGGACCCACCTGCAGCCACAGAGTTCCCTCCTGCGGCCTCCATCACTGCCACCACGGTGGCCTGTGTCTGCCCTCCCCCAAGTCTGGCTTTCCACCTCGCTGTGCCTGCCTCAATGGCTACAGAGGCCCTGACTGCCTGACCCCACCCTCTTCTCAAGGCTGTGGCCCTCCTTCTCCATGCCTACACAATGGCAGCTGCTCAGAGACCTCTAAGCTGGGGGGCCGAGGCTTTCGATGCTCCTGCCCTCCCAGCTCCTTAGGTCCCCGGTGTCAGAGCCCCAGAGCAAAGGGATGTGAGGGCAGAGGTGGAGATGGGGCCTGTGACACAGGATGCAGTGGACCAGAAGGAAACTGGGATGGGGGAGACTGCTCCCTGGGCGTCCTGGACCCCTGGAAGGGCTGCCCCTCTCACTCCCGCTGCTGGCTTCTCTTCCGAGATGGGCAGTGCCACCCACAATGTGACTCTGAAGAATGTTTGTTTGACGGCTATGACTGTGAGACTTCTCCAACCTGCACGTGAGCCTGAACCCCTGACTTGGAGGGGTGGGGCAGGGTGAGGGCAGGAGGAAAGACACAGATGCATCTGAGTTATAGTGTGACCACTGCCTCAAGCTCCAAGGAGTTTCCATCCTAATAACCATTGCCAAGTAGGGGCAGAAGACCCTAGGCTCCAACCCAGGGGGATGGGGCAGCACCAATATTTAATGGAGGACCAAGAAAGAAGGCATTGTCTCTGCCTGGGGTCCTGAGAGTTGTGGGAGCTCTGGCTTCAAGCCTTTCTAGGTCTTGCTGCCATGGAGTATCTCCCTTGGCAACCAGCACTCATGAGGGAAAAGTGCTTCGGGGTCTCCTTTAGGGAGACAGGAGACCTCGGGAGGGTAGGGAAAAGGGACAGTCTTAGGAAACCCGAGTATCAGTAGATAGATATTAGGGTGTCTAAACTACCTACCATCCAGGGCCTAAGCGCACTACTCCAGAGCTGCCCCTACTTAGCAACCAGTTCCCTAGAAGCTATGGAACATCAGGAATCCTCTCTGGGATAAAGGGAGTCAGGTTTCTTTGGGAGTCCTGAGTCCCTGCTCTCCTCACCCTACAGTCCAGCCTATGACCAGTTCTGCCGTGATCACTTCCACAATGGGCACTGCGAGAAAGGCTGCAACACTCCAGAATGTGGCTGGGATGGGGGCGACTGCAGGCCCGAAGATGGGGATTCAGAGTGGGGGCCCTCCCTGGCCCTACTGGTGGTGCTGAGCCCCCCTGCCCTGGACCAGCAGCTGCTTGCCCTGGCCCGGGTGCTGTCCTTGACTCTAAGGGTGGGTCTCTGGGTGAGGAAGGATAGTGATGGCAGGGACATGGTATACCCCTATCCTGGGGCCGAGGCTGAAGAGGAGCTAGGAGGAACCCCAAACCCTTCTCATCGGGAGAGGGCAGCCCCTCAAACACAGCCTGTGGGCAAGGAGACAGACTCCCTCAGCACAGGGTAAGAACGCTCGGTGGACGAGCATGCAATTTTTTTAACAGGCAGAGGGAAGGGAGCCAGGGACCACTCTGAGGTGCCTCCCCCACAGGTTTGTGGTGGTAATGGGTGTGGATTTGTCCCGCTGTGGCCCTGACCACCCTGCATCTCGCTGTCCCTGGGACCCTGGGCTCCTGCTCCGCTTCCTTGCCGGAATGGCTGCAGTGGAGGCCCTGGAACCCCTTCTGCCGGGACCCCTGCTGGCTGCCCACCCTCGCACAGGCACCGGTAGGTGACCCTATCATTTCTCCTGTCTTTGATCCCAAGCCAGCTTTCATGCCAGCCAGCAGCAATAAAAGTCAAGTGAAACAGAATTGCTAGGACCCAAATGCTCTTTGTAGGGACTTACCCATGTTAACCTCTCTAACTGGATCTCCTCATGGCCCATTTGCTCTGAAATCTTCTTCCTTATTTCTCTAAGTATTTTATCCTAACCTCTATCATAGACTTCTATCATCTTCTCTACCAGACCAATCATTGGACTAGATAGAGCATCCAATCATCCCTGTATCAAACAGTTCAAAGTATATGAAAGAATTAGAACTTATATTGTGCTATCTGCCAGGCCATGCTCTAAGTGCTTTACTGTATTAACTCCTTTAATCCTAACGACCCCATTGAGGCAGGTGCTATTGTTATTCCCATTGCACAACTGAGGAAACTGAGGCTAACAGGTTATTGCACTTGCCCAAAAGTATCACAGTAGTACCCAGCCTCACCTGGAATGGCTTCTTTTTTACTGTCTCTCCCACCAGCAGCCCCTGCCAACCAGCTCCCCTGGCCTGTACTGTGCTCGCCAGTGGCTGGGGTGCTTCTCCTGGCCCTCGGGGCTCTTCTCGTCCTCCAGCTCATCCGGCGGCGGCGACGAGAGCATGGGGCCCTCTGGCTGCCCCCTGGGTTCACTAGAAAGCCTCAGACTCAGCCAGCTTCCCGCCCACGCCGGCCCCCGCTGGGAGAGGACAGCATCGGCCTCAAGTGAGTGTGAGGAGGAAACAGGAATCAGGGAGGGAACTCTTTCCTGTGGAGATATTTACAATCAGAAGCACAAGAGATACTATTGCAGAAGTTGAAGACAGAGGAAGGGGAGAAGGGTAGGAAGGCTGCTAGAAACCTTGTGGACCCTGAAGTTCCTCTACCCACTCACTCTCTTTCAGGGCACTGAAATCAGAGGCTGAAGTTGAAGATGGAGTTACGTGCTCGGGCCCTGAAGAAGGAGAGGTGGGTGGCCAGGTAAAGCACTGGGGCAGGAATGGTCCTGAAATGATGGAGGGCTTGAGGGGACAAGTCAACCTTCCTTCACTGGTCGTTTTTCTGATTCCAAGGCTGAAGAAATGGCTTCACCCGCCAAGTGCCAGCTCTTGCTTCTGAGTGGTGACTGTCAGGAGCTCCCCCAGGCAGCCATGCTGACTCCTCCCCAGGAATTTGAGATAGATGTCCCTGACGTAGACGCCCGTGGACCTGGTACATGAGCCAACCCAGACCAAGAAGATGAAACCTCCCTTTGACCCTTTAGAATCAGAAAATCCTTTGATATAAGACCTGGAGAAGTATGTTAGAATTAATTAATTAGAACAGTGATTCTCAGAGTGTGGCCCCTGGACAGAAGAATTAGCATCACCAGGGAAATTATTAGAAATACGAGTTCTCGGGCTCCATTCCAGAGCTACGGATTCAAAAATCCAAGCTATTGGGAAATCTGTTTTAACAAGCCCTCTTGGTGAGTCTGATCCAGACTCAAGTTTGAGAACCACTGCCCTGGAATGATAGAGAATTACCATTCTTGTACTGGTTCCTTGTACAGATGAGGAAACTGAATCCCAGAGAAAAACAGAAAAGTCACTTGACTACAGCCACACAAAATCAAGAGCCAGAGCTCGGATCCTGACACCTCAGACTGTGATTCTCCCTGAGCCTCCATGTTCTCCCTCCCCCAGCCCCAGTTATGTCCTTTTGATTGACTTGTCTCTAATTCCTTCTCTCCCACTCACAGATGGGGTGACACCTCTGATGTCAGCAGTCTGCTGTGGGGGAGTAGGATCTGGGACCTTCCAGGCAGCATGGCTGGAAAGCCCTGAACCCTGGGAACCTCTGTTAGGTGGAGGGGCTTGTCCCCAAGCTCACACTGTGGGCACTGGGGAGACCCCCCTGCACCTGGCTGCCAGATTCTCCCGACCAACTGCTGCCCGTCGCCTCCTTGAGGCTGGAGCCAACCCCAACCAGCCAGACCAAGCAGGGCGTACTCCCCTTCACACTGCTGTGGCTGCTGATGCTCGAGAGGTCTGCCAGGTCAGTGCGCACTGGAGTCGCTTAACAGAACAGGGAGCAAACTTGCAAGTAAAGCTGGGCAAAAGCATCCTCTAGGGTTTGCCAAAGAGGAAGGTGATGTGATATTGGGGACCTGAAAGGGAAACAAGAATAGGTGGCTGAATATGTGTTGGGAAACGGTTAACAGTGGTCGGGGCCTGAACTAGCAGCCCAGGACATGCCAGGGGTCACTGGCCCTCTCTGGATCCCCCAGCTCCTACTCCGCAGCAGACAGACCGCAGTGGATGCACGGACAGAGGATGGGACCACAGCGCTGATGCTGGCCTCCAGGCTGGCGGTGGAAGACCTGGTTGAAGAACTGATTGCAGCCCAAGCAGATGTGGGGGCCAGAGATAAACGGGGTATGGATCTGGAGAAGCTGATGTGCCATAGAGAAGAAGTTCAGCAGACAGGATATGAGATAAAATGCAAAAAAGGCGGGGGAGGAGCAGCAGAAGAGCAACTGCAGGCTGGGAGATTCCCTCCCCTCCCGCCTTGCTGTAAATCTTTAGTATGGAGCACGTGTCTTCCTCTATCATCCTCATCAACACATACTGCCGTAGCGCACTGCAAACTAGGATGGCTAGGATGACGGACGAGTATCTGAGAAGGGGGGGCGGGGGGGGTCTCCTGGTCCCACTGACCCCAGAACAATGCCCTATTGTCCCTCCTCGCACTGGTGACGTCAACAAAGGGTAACGCTTCCTGCCAGCAGGCGGTCACCCAGGCAACGCTTCCGCCTTTGAGGGACCCGGCGAGCCCGAGGATCCCTTCTCCCAAGAGCAGGAGCCGCGGGAAACAGGAACGCAGGAGTCTGGCCCTCAGCCTCAGGGTAATAATAACCTCCCACATCGTTCCCCAGGAAAAACCGCGCTGCATTGGGCCGCCGCCGTGAACAACGCCCGGGCCGCCAGCTCCCTTCTCCAGGCCGGAGCCGATAAAGACGCCCAGGACGGCAGGGTTAGACCTGGTAGAGGGAATCCCCACAAAGAAAAAAAAAAAGCGGTGCCAGAGAAGTGAAAAGCGCAGGAACCCCGCCAAAGCCTGGAGGGGGAGAGCCAGTAGTCAAGTAGGTGGAGTCACAAAAGGCCAGTCCTGTGGGCATGGCCTCCCCTGACGTCGCCCCTGGCGGTTTCCTCCCGCGCAGGAGCAGACGCCACTGTTTCTGGCGGCCCGAGAAGGGGCAGTGGAGGTGGCTCAGCTGCTGCTGAGACTAGGGGCAGCCCGAGAGCTGCGGGACCAGGCAGGACTAACGCCGGGGGACATCGCACGCCAGCGGAACCACTGGGATCTGCTGACGCTACTAGAAGGAGCGAGGCCGCCGGAGACATGTCACAAAGACGCGACGGGTGCTTTCGCGCGTGCGCGGACCGCGTCGGGCAGCGTACCGTCGCGCAGGGGCGTGGCTCTGCAGCGCTGCCGGACGTTGTCAGCAGGAGCAGTCTCTCGTGGAGGCGGGGCAGATCTACAAACCCGGACTTCGTCGGTTGACTTAACCGCGCATGGGGATGTGGCCTATTCGCAGTGCCGGATCCTATCAAAAGGAGGAGCAGGAGGCGGCCCGCCCCGCCACGGCCGGAGGTTTTCTGCAGGCATGCGCGGGCCTCGGCCCAACCCTGCAATAATACAAGGAAGATCCGGGGTCGCGACCGGTAGTGGGGGTGTGTCCTTAGCTGACGAGTGGCCCTGCGATTGGGTGGCCTTGGGAGCCTGCAGTCCCGCCTCCAACACGCGGATCTCACCTCTTTACCTTACTCCGTCTCCCGAGCGGGGTTCCCCTCAAGTTGCCTGGGATTCGCCGCCAGCCCACCGTGTAATATCCTTAAGTGCAGGAGGTGAGGGTCAAAAACAGAAAGCTAATGGCAGGGACGAATTGTAAAACTGAGCACCCATTAAATGACAGGCGTCCGGAAGTTCTCCAGATTTTAAAGTTTTCGAGCCCCAAAAGTAGGAGGTCGTGAGTATAGTGTCCTTTCCAAAATGAGTGTATACACACTACCGTCATCGACTTCCACATTGAGAACTTGCAGCCCTAGAAAGGGTTTAGGGTGCTGAGATGAAGCAAACCAAAACTACAGACAAGATGTAAGATGTTCTTTCTTGTGCAGTATATGGTTCCCAAAGGGAGCCTTTATATCACCCATTACATCATCCCCACTACCCACAAACAGCTGACAAATATTTATTGGGCACCTACCATGTGCCAGGCACTGTGGGGTGGGGAGCGCCAAGGACCACTCCAGCTGATGACTCCTTGCATTCTCACCACCCCCAAACCAACCACTGCAGGGATGAAGCGCAACTCTTCTAGCCACTGCTATCTCTAAGAACCCCAAATTTATCACCAGATAATAAAGCTGATTTAAAATGTTACCTTTTGAAGCGGTTGGAAAGTGCAATGGAAAAAAATATGGGCGGGACTGCATAGTGTTTTCAGAATTTTGTGCCCCAAATTCAACATGTGGATGGAAGCTTTGAGTACAGTTTAAGAGCAAGAATAAGTAGATTTGGGTGTCCTGTGTTAATTTAGTGTATCACCTTAAAGATTATTAGCCCATGGAGAAACTACACACTAGACAATGCATACCCTTTGTCCTTTCAAGGGCATTTAGTTATAACCACTTAAGAAAGAGATTCCCAAGATCTCAAGTAGAGGAAGATGGAGAGCACATCTCAAACTTTATCTACCTTTCGGCAACGTGGCTGCACCACATGGTGACTGGCCTGAGACATGGAGTCATGAGGCATTTTAAAACCTAATCAAGCATACCTCATTTTATTACACTTTGTTGTGATTCACTGAAGGTTCAGATGATGGTTAGCATTTCTTAGCAATAAAGTATTTTTTAATTAAGATACATTTTTAAGATAATGCTATTGAACATTTAACAGAGTACAGTACAGTTATAAACATAACTTACATGCACTGGGAAACCAAAACATCTGTGACTCAGTTTACTGTGATATTCACTTTATTGCAGTGGTCTGAAACCAAATTCACAATATTTCTGAGGTATGCTTTGTAATATTGTGATTTTATTGAGCATTCACTATGTGCCAAGTGCCTAATCACATTTAATCCTCACGTCAACTATTAGGTAGGTCTACACTACATTTTACTCTTTTCAGAAATGGGCACGGAGATTTTATTTGGCCAAGATTGCAAGGCATTAATACAGTCCCCAATCTTTTTGGCACAAGGGACCAATGTTTCTATGAGAATACAACACCTGATGATCTGAGGCGAAACTGAGGCAGTGATGCTAGCACTGGGGAGCAACTGCAAATATAAATGAAGCTTCACTCCCTCACCCACCGCTCACCTCCTGCTGTTAGGCCCAGTTCCTAATAGGCCACGGACCAGTACCGGTCTGTGGCCTGCAGGTTGGGAACCCCTGCATTAAGTGACAGAACCAGATCTCTTCATCACATTGCATGTTCAAAGTCACTCAGCAGTAACCTCCCTACTATGACAGATTACCATTTAGAGGTCCCATATGTCTATTTGTCCTGCTTCCACCTTGTTACCAGTCAGCCTGATCAGCACAGATCAAAGACCAAGCCAGTGAGGTGGTCCTCTCCTTTTACTGTCTCTATATCCCTCATTCATGAAGAGAGGAAATTTTCCCCTGCCCCTTGTCTCTCATATTTGGTGCATATCTTGTCCCGGGAATAGACTAAGCACCCAGAGGGCAGGGATAACTATTCAACCTATTTATCAAAAACCGTGTGTTGGACCCAGTGCTAGCAGTATGTGTATGTTTGAGGGCCTGACATCCCTGGATCTGAGTCCTCTGCTTCCCACTGGAACCATGCCCCTTCCAGTCCCAATAAGTCTGAGGGAAGCTGGGAAGCAGGAGAGGGCCAAATACTACCTCAGGGTGCATCTTAGGGAGAGAAGGGACCTGGGGGTAGTGGGGTTCTGAGGAGTAAAACCACTTCCTGTGTAGCTAGTTCCTGCGTTGACAGCTGAAGGGGAGGAGGGGACGGAAGGACTAGAGCAGGGGTCGAGGGTCTACTGAGGCGCTGGAGATGAGAAGACCAAGAGTCCTTCCCCACCTTGAAACTCCTCCCCTACTACTGGAGGAGATTTTGCCAGTCTTTACTCCCATGGGAGAGAGACAGAGGTCAAACAAGCAGTTTGGGTGGGAAAAGAGAACTGGAGGAAGTTGACAGGGATGGGCGGGGCCCGTGGGGGGGCTGACCAGGAACCCAGCTTCCTGCTTAGTACCCAGACATCCAGCCCCCGGCTCACCCCCACCCCTTCCAGCCCCCACTCCCCTCAGGAACTCAGGGTTCAGCCCTCCTCCAAATCCCAGCTACCCCTCCTCCATCAGTTTCTCCCCTCCAGGGGATGGAGGCTGAGAGATCCCAGGAAGAAGAGGACGGTGAGCAGGTGAGCTGGGCACCCGGTGGTGGAGGCTGACACAGGGAGGGAGGGAGGTAAGAGGACCTGAGGCAGAGATCAAGTGACATGCACTCAGGAAACTTGGAAGGGCTTGGGCACACTGAGGCAGGAACAGACAGAGAGGAAATGGGCCGCTGGCCTAGCCCCCTGCCTACCCTGCCCCTGCTTGACTGAAATGATCTCGGCATCAGGGCCCCCATCAGGATGAGCGTGGCTGGCCTCCTGTGAACACCACCACTAGGCCTTGGCGATCTGCTCCTCCATCCCCTCCTCCAGGGACCCGCCACACAGGTACCCCCACCCACCCAGGGAGCTCCCTGACCATGGTGCCCCCATCCTCCCAATCCCATTATCAAGATCCACTCCATCACAGGCTCTCTCTCCACCTCCTGGACTCCCCATTGCCCCCCCTTACCTCTGACTATCAGTCCCTAATCACCCCACCCTGTCCATCCCTATCCCTGTTTCCCCACTCCACCCCCTGCCAACTCTGAGCCCTGCTCCTCCTCTCCCAGCCCTGGGGCCCCGCTCGGCCTCCCTGCTCTCCCTGCAGACTGAGCTCCTTCTGGACTTGGTGGCTGAGGCCCAGTCCCGCCGCCTAGAGGAGCAGAGAGCCACTTTCCATGCCCCCCAGAATCCCCCAAGCCTAACCAGAGCCCCACCCCGGCCTCTTGAGGACAGAGAACAGCTCTACAGCACCATCCTCAGTCACCAGGTAAGATCCTACCCTCCCACCCCTCACCACCACCACCAGGAGACAAGGCCCAGGCTTCCTTGTCTTTTGGCCCTGTTTTCTTTGGGACCCAACCCTTCCTTTTCCCCAGGTTATCTGCCCCCTCCCCAGGCCCTAGTTCCCCCATCCCCATCATAGGTGTCCTGTATGCCCCTCACACCAGCCCTGGCTCCTTTCAAGGCCTGCTCCTCTTAGAACCTCGCCAACACCCTCCCCTCCATTCCTCCAGTGCCAGCGGATGGAAGCCCAGCGGTCAGAGCCTCCCCTACCCCCAGGGGGGCAGGAGCTCCTGGAGTTGCTGCTGAGAGTTCAGGGTGGGGGACGAATGGAAGAACAAAGGTCTCGGCCCCCCACACACACCTGCTGAGACTTGAGCCCCCCACCAGCCCCTCCACACTTCTGAGGCTCATAGCTGGGCAGCCCACTGTATGCCCTCAATCCTGCTTGGCAGGGGCACCAGAGACTGGAAGACCTAGATGAAATCTCAATATTCATTGCCCTCGTCACCTTCCCTGGGAAATGGAGGGGGTGAAAGTGCTCAAACCCTGGGAATCAAAGGTATGATGGTCATTTAAGTTTCTCCTGGAGTACATGGAGGCATAAGGCAGTGAGAGGATTCCAGCCACCAAGGGACACCCCATCTCTACTCTGATCTCAGGGAGTGACTTGGAGTCTTAAGGTCCTAAGCTGTAGGGACACCCCTAGTTGTCGAGCCACTAGGCAAGATCTGAGGGCTTAGGCCTCCATCTCCCGAGAAAAAGCAGATCTCAGAAGGTTATGACTTGATAGTTCCCCCCTCCTTCCCAGTAAAAAGAAAAGGAAGGTGGGCACAGCAGAGATAAAGAGGATTCTCCCACCACCAGCACTTCTTGGCCCCTACAGGCTGTGAACAGACACTTAGCCATGCCCACCCTCCCTCTCCACTGCTGCTCCGAGTCTGATGTTTTGGTTGTATGAATAAATGTAATTCCCCTCTGGACTGAAGACTGGTGTCTGGGGCTACCGGGATGGAGGGTAGGACAGTGAGGCCAGAGGCTGCCTCTCTCCCCAGCCTGGCGCGAGGCCAGCTCCCCTCCCAGGCTGGTTAATTACAGGCTGATTAAGCAGCGGCTGGAGACCTCCTTAATTACCCCCTCCCGCCCCCTCTCCTGGTTTTAATTAAGTAGAACAGGGAGGGGAGTCATTAGGACAAGAAATATGAACTGAGCTGTCTGTGAACCCAGGCATGCCAGCGACCAGAGTCCACGGCTCCTTGATCCCTGATTCAGAACCCTGGTGGCAGGCCCCCTGCCCCACGCCCCCAACATGCCCTCCACCCAAGTCGCAGAAGTCCAGCCCCAGGGCCTCCCCGTATTTTCCCCGATGGGCTGGTCTCCTCCCAGCGTCCCTTCTACCCTCTCCCCGCCTCCACTCGGTCTTAGTTCCTCTGTTTCTGTGTATCTCTCCCCGCCCCCAGCTCCTCCCTGTTCCTCCTCTCTTCTCCCCTCCTCTTCCTCCCTGGCTCCCCTCCCCCAGCCTCCCTCCCTCGCTCCCCCCCTTCTCCCTCCTCCCTCCTCCCTCTCTCTTACACACCCCCGCTTGGGCCTCTTCTCTCTCTCCGGCTCCATTTTCTCCGCCGCCGGGGGCCGGGGTCTCCTGTGGGGGGCCCAGCCGGTACCCCAGGTCTCCCTTCAGGGACGGGGTGAACCCCTCAGGGAGCCGGGAAGGGGGAAGACGGGCAGGAGTTGGGGCGGACGGAGCAGCGGCCCCAGCGAGTTTGGGGGGGAAGTAACCAGGCGGGGGGAGGGGCAGAGCAGGGAGGGGGCCTCAGGGCCCCCCCCCAACTATGGACGAGCGGCTGCTGGGGCCGCCCCCTCCAGGCGGGGGCCGAGGGGGCCTGGGATTGGTGGGTGGGGAGCCTGGGGGCCCTGGCGAACCTCCGGGTGGCGGAGACCCCGGTGGGGGGAGTGGGGGGGTCCCGGGAGGCCGAGGGAAGCAAGACATCGGGGACATTCTGCAGCAGATAATGACCATCACCGACCAGAGCCTGGATGAGGCCCAGGCCAAGTGAGTGCCCCCACCCCGGGACCCCACACAGACCCAGCAGAAGCCCCATTCACAAGCTCTGAGCCTTGTGGAAGCGCCCCCCGCCCCCAACTCCTGGACCCTCTCCAAGATCCTACAGCTCTCCTCTCCTTACTCCCCCAGAACCCCCAGATAAGTGATCCTTCTCAAACCTCCCTTCACCCCCAGGCCCTGGAACCTTAAGGAGGGGAACCACAGGTGCTCTCACTCCCCTCTCCTAACCTCTCATTGACCCCCACACTCCCCTGGAACATCCCTCCATCTTCAGAGCCTCTTTCCAGCCCACCTGCCTTCTCTACAGACTTGGGGACGTCTACACCCCTGGAGAGTTCCTACCTCTCCTCTCCACTATGGTCCAGCCTTCAAGGGTCCTCACCTACCCTTTGCCCTTGCTCAGTCCCAGGACCCCTGACACACTGAACTCCCCACTTTAGCTTGCGGCCCCTAACCCCATTCTGGCACCCCAGACTCTGCCTCTTCTCCCCAGTCTCCATCTCTCTTCCTCTGAAATCTACCTAGTCACCCTCATGTCCGCAGTCACCCCAAACTCCCCCTCTATATCCTATAGACTATCTCCCACAGCCCCCTGTCCGCCCAAGAGGTCTTTATCCTGCTGTTTTCACCTTCCCTCCATCTGCTGGAAGCCAGGCAGCTTCCCCCCATCTCCATGCTCTGATAGCTGATCTCGCCCCAAGAACCTCCACTTCCATTCTGCCCCCGACCACACTTTCTTCCTCCCTTGTTCTCAGGCTCCCCTCAACCTCATGGTTTTCCACCACTACCTGTTTCTGTAGCTCAGCTTTTCTCCCATTCCTTCCAAGGAAACATGCCCTAAACTGCCACCGAATGAAGCCTGCTCTCTTTAGCGTCCTGTGTGAAATCAAGGAGAAAACCGGTATGTGGATCCTCTTCTCATTCCTCAGCTCTGGGGATGAAACCCTGTTTACTATAGATTCAGCCTAAGAGTTTGACAGCTTGGGGCCCTGAGTAAATTGGGAGTCAGGGAGGTTGCTAAGGGTGGCTGGGGAGGGAACCAAAGAAATTTGGGTTTCCAGGAGGCATCCAGAGGGCTGAGAATCGGGTATGGGATCCCCGGGTCCCTAAGTCCACTCACCCGCACAAACTAGGCCTCAGCATTCGAAGCTCCCAGGAGGAGGAGCCGGTGGACCCACAGCTGATGCGCTTGGACAACATGCTTCTGGCAGAGGGTGTGGCTGGGCCCGAGAAAGGGGGGGGCTCAGCGGCAGCAGCTGCAGCTGCTGCAGCTTCTGGAGGCGGCGTGTCCCCTGACAACTCCATCGAACACTCGGACTATCGCAGCAAACTCGCCCAAATTCGCCATATCTATCACTCAGAGCTGGAGAAATATGAGCAGGTGAGGAGAGGAGGCTGGAGTGGATGGAGGTTCTTTGGGGGGAATCCCAAGGCCAAAGGGCTCCTCTTCACAGCCTACTGGCCCTCACTCCAGGCATGTAACGAGTTCACAACCCACGTCATGAACCTGCTGAGGGAGCAGAGCCGCACGCGGCCTGTGGCACCCAAGGAAATGGAGCGCATGGTGAGCATCATCCATCGAAAGTTCAGCGCCATCCAGATGCAGCTCAAGCAGAGCACCTGCGAGGCTGTCATGATCTTGCGTTCCCGTTTCCTGGATGCCAGGTGGGACCTAGGGGCCCAGGCCTGCCCTCAGCACTGGGATCCTTCCCATTCCTCAGGCCCCTGGGCCACCATGTTGCACAACACGGTACTCCATGACAATGGCGTCCTCTGGAGTTATGCAATATGGAGTTCCTGCTAGGATAACAATGTCCTCACCACCCTTCTTTCTCTAGACGAAAACGCCGTAACTTCAGCAAACAGGCTACTGAGGTCCTAAATGAGTATTTCTACTCTCACCTGAGTAACCCATATCCTAGTGAGGAGGCTAAGGAGGAGCTTGCCAAGAAGTGTGGAATCACTGTCTCTCAGGTATTGGGGAGGAGTTTTCTGGCAGAAAGCTCTCCAATCCTATTGACTGAGAGTCTTAACAGAGGGAAAAGTTTCCACATGACCCTCTTTTCTGCCTGCCACCCCACAGGTCTCCAACTGGTTTGGCAACAAGAGGATTCGCTATAAGAAAAATATTGGGAAGTTCCAAGAAGAGGCAAACATCTATGCCGTCAAGACTGCTGTGTCAGTCACCCAGGGGGGTCACAGCCGCACCAGCTCCCCAACACCCCCTTCTTCCGCAGGTGGATCCAGCTGCCACCCTGGCTGGCTATTTTGCACACTTCCTGCTTTTTGTTCCCACTTCCTATCTAGCAAGATCATTGCAGAATGGGGCCTTTGGGATTGAGAGAGACCAACTTGAGATGGGGTGGGGATGTCAGGGGACAGAGTCCACTCCAGCAAAGTTACTCTTGCCTTTCTTCAGCAAGTGGCCAGGGGAGGCTCAGAAACAGCCTAATCCTTCTGAATGTTACAGTGTTTTGTGGATAATTTGTGCACAGTAGTGTACCCCCACAGAACTAGTTCGGAAGGCTTTTTGGAAACAGAGCGGTGGTGCATCTCTTGTCTGCCATCACAGGCATGTTATACATGTCCCTAATTCCCTCTCTGCTCCCCCAAGGCTCTGGCGGCTCTTTCAATCTCTCAGGATCTGGAGACATGTTTCTGGGGATGCCCGGGCTCAATGGAGATTCCTACTCTGCTTCCCAGGTCAGGTGGCCCATCTTCCCTTAAGTAGGATTTTCCCAAAGTTGGTTTCCCTCCCTTCAGGATATGAGACTTCTTTCTTTTGAGGCTTCTCACTGTCATACTTCCTTTGGCTGCCCACAGGTGGAATCACTCCGACACTCAATGGGGCCAGGGGGCTATGGGGATAACCTCGGGGGCAGCCAGATGTACAGCCCTCGGGAAATGAGGGTGAGTAGATTTCTGAAGTCCTCTCTCTCTGCTGCTCACCAGGACAGGAGGGCCTTTTCCCTGGCACCGTTGTCCCCAACATTGGGTTTCCCAGAGCCCTACCCCAACTGTCTCTTTTTCCAGGCAAACGGCAGCGGCTGGCAGGAGGCTGTGACCCCATCCTCGGTGACATCCCCAACAGAGGGACCAGGGAGCGTTCATTCTGACACTTCCAACTGATCTCGCCCCTTAGGGCCACAGGGGTGGGGGCTCTCGAGATGACTCTTGAAGAGGACACAGGCATCCAGAGGACAAACCCCAGACATAGGAGAAGCACAAGACAGAAGGGCAAAAATGGGGTTGTCCCCTCCTCCACCAGACTCTTGGTGCTGGGGGTGCTGACTACATGGCAGGGAGAATGGGGTCCCCTTAGGGGAAAGTGGGGTCTATCTTCCCCTTTTTTCTTTTTTTTTTCAGTCTGTTTTCCTCTCCCCCTTATACAGAAACACACACTCAGAATCCTGTTTTTCAGATCCGTCTTCCTCTCACCGTACAACCGTCGTTCCCCACACCCACCCCCTCTGGTTTTGACCACTCTCCCTCCTCCACCCCTTATCTGTTCTGGGATCTGTGGAGACACCAGCCTTGCCCGACCAGAGATGCCAAAAATGGGGACAGAACTTCTGGACAGATGACTTGGACCACGCCTCCGTGCCTCCCACCCCCTGCCCCTCCGGACGGCTTTATTACCTCATATGCAGCTCATCTTAAACCAATAGAATCGCTCGGTGGACAAGAGTGTCTGACTCAGATATCTACCTCGGAGGGAGTTTCTGCTACTCTATGGAATTGTTGACTGGGCTTTGGGGTTGAACTTTTTTTTCTTTTAAGAAAAGAAAAAGGAACCCTGGGACCATCTTTTTTTTTTTTTTTTTAATGTTCTTTTTTTGTTGTTGGTTTTTAATTTAGTTTGGGGAAGTAGATGTTTTTATAAATATGTTAATTTTTTTTTTAATTTCTTGTTTTCCCATGTTAGGGGTGATAGTCAAAGGAGTCATAAGAGAAAGGGGAAACAAATAAATATGGTGAAGAGGCCCACCTGGCTCCAGTCCTGTCCATCAGAAAGTATATTTAGCAGGGCACCAAGCCTGCCCCCCTAAAATCACTTGTTCTCCTTTGCTTGTAAAATCCTAGGTGTTCGCTTGTGCAGGCAGCTTCCTCCTGCTGCATTTGGTATGGAGGCCGTCGTGGGCTTGCTCGACTGGCCGATTCTCCCTCTTCTCACACTTGGGCAGGGCTAGACTCAGTAATTTTAAAGAAATGCCACCTTCCCCTGTGACACGTCTTTAAACCTTTTTTTAGCTACTATTTGCAGATTGGAGGGAAAGGGAGGGGGATATTGTGAAATAAGTATGGGTTGGGGTGCTTGTGTATGTATCTCTGAATTTCCCTAGAAATGATGTATCTTTTTCTCAGTCCAAAATCAAAAGGGTTGGGAGAGAAAGGAGGTTGCTAAAAGCTAGCTGTGGGGAGAAGTAAAATCACCACTGCCCCATCCTTGGCCCTGAATCCTATCATCTGAACCCCTCAGACGTCCTCAGGATTTCACAAGACTGTCATAGTGGAAAAGTTCTGTCAATGATCCAGGCAGGATTTGAGGGCAGGTTGGGATTGTGATGGGTGGGGGGCGGGAGGCACGGGCCGGGGGCAGTTCTCTCCTCACTTGTAAACTTGTAGTTTCACAGGAAAAATAAAAGCAGTTTTAAATAAAGACATTTCTTTTTTCCCTGGGTTTAGTTGAGAATTATTTTCAAAAACATGAGAAATCCTAGAAAAATATTTTTCTCTCATAAAGTCCCAAACGGGTTTTCCCTAATTTCCTGAGTCTTGCCCTCACCACCCAGACCCCATGTTTCACCCTTGCCTTTTTACCGTGGGAAACAGCCTGGCTTGAACCCTGTTGCCTGGCAACCTTGCCTCCTCAAGATGAGGCTCCAGTGGTCCAACAAGCAGCCCTCAGCAGACAGATAGAACAGGTTGGTGGTCCTGAGAGGATGAGAGACCCAAGGAGGTGCACTCCCCACCCCCATGGATGTGGCAGTGCCCAAGGGTGGGGTGATAACTGTTTCTCCTATATTCTGAAGGACTCTTGTCGGGAGAGCCATGAATTCCTAGCATTCCCTGTGCCAGGACAGGGCTGGGAGAGGGTGTGAGCCCCACCTAGGGCGGAGGCCACAGCAGTGAGGGGCAGACAAAGGCAGGAGCCTGGGAAGAAAGCAGGATGGCAACAGGGGCAACGGTCGGAGCCTGGGCGCTGGTCCTCAGTCTGTGGGGTGAGCCACTCTCCCCACACCTATCCTCCCTTCTGAAAGCACTCTGCCCCCTCCCCAAATCTCCCCAGAACTTTCCTGGAACCTGGATACCACTCTTCAGGCTCCCTCACACACCCTGTGCTAGTTTTATCAGCCCCATCTCTTTTTCCTGCCCCTCCGCCTTGGTGCTGTCTTCCAGGGGCAGCAGTAGGCAGTCGAAACCTCACAGCCCAGATCGGGAAGCCACTGGTGCTGAACTGTAAGGGTGCTCCCAAGAAACCACCCCAGCAACTGGAATGGAAATTGGTAAGAGGGTCTCCTGTTACACCCTGCCCACTTCCCTGCCTCATGAGTCCTTTCTCAAAGGACTTGCACTGTTTAGGCCCCTCTCCTCTGTCCCCAGAACACAGGCCGGACAGAAGCTTGGAAGGTCCTATCTCCCCAGGGAGGTCCCTGGGATAGTGTGGCTCGAGTCCTCCCCAACGGCTCCCTCCTCCTGCCGGCCATTGGGATCCAGGATGAGGGGACTTTCCGGTGCCGGGCAATGAGCCAGAATGGAAAAGAGACCAAGTCCAGCTACCAAGTCCGAGTCTACCGTAAGGGTTCCAGGGCCTTCCCCAAGGCCCACTTTTCATCTAAGGAAAAGCCTTCAACCCCAGCCCTTGGCTCCTTAGCCCTGGTGTGTGAGAACCTCTAACTTCACTGACCCAGCCCCACAACCAGGATGTGAGGATCTTCAAAGCTTCGGCCTGATTGGAATTTTCCCTCCTTCAGAGATTCCTGGAAAGCCAGAAATTGTTGATCCTGCCTCTAAACTCACAGCTGGTGTCCCCAATAAGGTAGTGGAAGAAAATGGGAGTAGAACGTGGTCCCGAGAATGGGAGGGGAGTGTAGCTAAGTGTGTATGGAGTCTCTTATTTTCAAAGATGATGAGGTCACTCTCTTTCCCCAGGGGGACATGTGTGTCTGAGGGGGGCTACCCTGCAGGGACTCTTAGCTGGCACTTGGATGGGAAACCCCTGATACCTGACGGCAAAGGTGAGTCCCCCTCTTCCCCCCGTAACTGCCTTCTTTTTGATCCCTCCCCCCCGACACACACACACACCCTGGGATATCTTGCCTTCTTCCCCCACCACAGGAGTGTCTGTGAGGGAAGAAACCAGGAGACACCCTGAGACAGGGCTTTTCACACTCCAGTCAGAGCTGATGGTGACCCCAGCCCTGGGAGGAGCGCCCCACCCTACCTTCTCCTGTAGCTTCAGCCCTGGCCTTCCCCGGCGCCGAGCCCTGCACACAGCCCCCATCCAGCTTAGTGTCTGGGGTAAGCAGAGATGGGGAGGGCCCCTCGCTCGGGTGAGTACTATCTGAAAGTATGCCACTGGGACCACACGTAGGTGTAACTCTCAGCCTCATGCCCCTTCCCAGCCCCAGAGCCTGTGCCTCTGGAGGAGGTCCAATTGGTGGTGAAGCCAGAAAGTGGAGCAGTAGCTCTTGGTGGAACCGTGACCCTGACCTGTGAAGCCCCCACCCAGCCCCCTCCTCAAATCCACTGGATCAAGGATGTGAGTGACCTGAAGAGGGGGCTGGGAGGTAGAGATACATAACTGGCAACTAGAAGGGCAGCGGCTCATGGAGAGAGAGGCAGTCAAGAGGCTGGGGAAGAGGACAAGGTATCTGGGGATGTGGAGACAAAGACAGGAGTATGGGATATACAGACAAGGGTTGTAATAGCCTCCTGCCCCACTTCCCCGCCTCCTAGGGCACGCCCCTGCCACTTCCCCCCAGCGCAGTGCTGCTCCTCTCTGAGGTAGGGCCTCAGGATGAGGGAACCTACAGCTGTGTGGCCACCCATCGCAGCCACGGGTCCCAGGAAAGCCAGGCTGTCAGCATCAGCATCATTGGTGAGACCTCTCCCCAGAGCCCAGGGACCCTGTGCAGCCTCCAATTCCCTACCCTGTTCTGGCATTGTCCCCAAGAGCTATCTCACATCTCCCTCAGTGGACCCACACCCAGGCCTCGGCTGCCCCACCCAAACCCTACCAAGAGAGCAGCCCAGCCTATCCCCTCTCCACTCTGAACTGAAGAAAAAGAAGACTCCACTGGGGCTCCCACTAAATAGCCCTTTCCCGAACTGAAGCTTCCCTTTCTGACTTGCCCTGACTTGTCTTCTAGAAACAGTCGAGGAGGGGTCAACTGCAGGTGAGGAGTTGGATAAGGTCAGAGAAGCAGACAGACCCCAACATGCATGGTGAGTGGTAGGGGCTGTGCCCTCAATCCTCCCCATTTGCCTACAGGCTCTGTGGGAGGGCCAGGGCTGGGAGCTCTAGCCCTGGCCCTCGGGATCCTGGGAGGCCTGGGGATAGTCGCCCTGCTCATTGGGATCATTATGTGGCGAAGGTGGCGACACCAAGGAGAGAAGAGGTGAGTGCAGAAAGCCACTGGGGGCTTCCTGGCAGCAAGGAGAGGTGTGGGGGAAATGCTAGGACCCATGTGCAGAATTTCCCCAATCTTCCTCCCCAGGAAGGCCCCAGAAAACCAGGAGGAGGAGGAGGAAGGGCGTGCAGAGCTGAATCAGTCTGAGGAGCCTGAGGCAGCCGAGAGCAATGCAGGAGGGCCTTGAAAGGCCCACAGCCACCCCCATCCCTCAGCTCCCTTTTCTTTTCCCCACACTCTGTTCTGGCCCCAGATGAGTTCTCCCCTGTACAACCTCCACTCACCTCACCAAACTTTCTTCCACAACCAGAGCCTCCCATGAAGCGCGATGAGTAAACAACTGACAAACCTTACTCCCTTTGCTCTTTGTGTGTGTGTGTGTGTGTGTGTGTGAGATGCCCTCACCCCTGCAACCCTGAGACACTTGAAGGAAAGGGCTCACCCCCATGCTTCCCCACACCACATCAAAAATCTACTCAAGGTGGGAAGAAGATGGAAGGAAGGAAGGAGGGAAGGACAAAGGTGGGCAGAGCTCCCATCAACACATCTCACCTTGTTTATTGAATTTGTAACAAAGGAGGTAGTGAGGGGAAGGAAGCACTTAAAAGTCATAACCTATACTAGAAACTGAGGAGAGAAAAATTAAGTTAATGAGAGGAAAGTCGGGGAGAGCCAGAAGGAGGCTTGCCCACCTTTCAACATCAAATCAAGAAACCTGGGGAAAGCAAAGGATGAGGAGAGAGGAGAAACAGACATTCTCTTCAGTCCATGCTCTTCTCCCAGAGCTGGGAGGTATGATTCTACTGAGTGAGCAGTTCAGGGCAGATGCTTCTCCCATCCTATGCACAGATGTCACTCTTCCTCCCCACACCCTCCTGGAGAGTGGCCATGGCTGGCCTTAGCCAGCAGAAATGGAGGGGCTGGGGTCGGGGGAGGGTCCGGGAGTAAGGAAAGGTCAGCAGGGACCCTCAATACTGATTCTTCTCTGGCTAGAGGTGGGCAGAAAGAAGACACAGCTCAAATACTGAGCAGCCAGAAAAAGAAGAAGATGGCGAGAAACAGGAAGAGGGAGTCCTGCCAGCTGGAGGCTGGGTGACCCTGTCCCAGATCCACACCTGTGGGAGAAAGGAAAGCTGCAGAAGAAGCATCCAGGGCCGGGAGGGGGCCTGGGGGGATTCAGGGGGCTCCCAGGTAGGAGCTGAGGGAAGGCTCTTACCTGTACCCCGGTGGAATGGCTCATGGGTATTGAAGACAGTGGTGAAAAATCCAAAGGGAAAAGCACCAACACCAAATGAGAAGTGAAAACCCCCAGTATCACCAAATGGCTGGAATCCCTAAGGAGGCAGAGAAAGTCAGAGGGAGATTGGGCAAGTCTTTAGCAAGGAAGAAACACAATCGGACAAGACTCACCCCTCTGCTCTCTGGAGCTGGTCGCTGGCCCTGGGGGCGGGGTGGAGTTTTCAATCTGAGGAAGAGGAGAGGAACATCAATAGGAAATGTTCTCTCCAATTCCATGCCCCACTCCCTGGGAGAAAGTCTTCCATTTTCCCTCAGCACCCTCCTCTCTCTCACCTGGGATCCTGGGACTTCTGGCTCCCTCGCCCATAAAGGGGGACAACCTTTTCTCTGCTGATCCCAGCTTTACATACTGGGCACTCTTGCCGCTCAGGCCGTGTCTCCAGCCACTGGGGGGAAAAATGAAGTGGTTTCCAGTACACAGCAGGGTCTTCCAGCTCCTAAGACCTCCCCATTTCCCTCTTCATATCCTCTGAGTACGCACCTGATGAAGACAGGGCCAACTGGATGGGGGGAAAAAAAAAGGTCAAACTAGCTACAGAAAGGAGACAAAGACCACACCTCACAGAGTTCCATCTCACCCCAATTCCCAAGTTTTACCTGCTGTTTCTTTTCATATTTTCTGCCACCTCTACCATTATAGCCAACTTGGCCTTCCTGCTTCTCTCATCCTCCAACACCTAAAGCTTCATCCTCAAGATGCTCAACCCTCTCATTTCGACACACACACACTCATCCCCTCCCTTCTCTGCCTTTCGACTTAATTTCCAGTTCTCTTCAACCACTCCTTTCCAGATCTCCTCTTACAGCCCAAGCCCCATCCTTGCCCTTATTACTCCCAAACCAAATCCCCTAAATAGCACCTTCCCCTACTGCTCCTTTTACTTTCTTCCAGGCCCAATAAAGTTCCTATTTTCACAATCTTTTAACCTCTCAAGACTGCCTCTCCACAGTGCCCTTGTCCCACGGCATACCACCCCCTTCCACGCCTCATCTGAATGTGACCCCCACATTCTCTAGGTCTTCCCCCACTCAACTGACGCGTTCCTCCCCTATCCTTTGAGTCTAATCCGTTTCCACCTGTACAGCTAAGATCCCTCACTCCTCTGGGGTAAGGTGGCTCGGGTTTCACCTGTACAGATGTGCGGTGCCCACCCTTCCGCTCCACTTCCTCTTAACACACCATATGCCCCAGCTCCTAGTTCCTATGCCTCTCCTTTCCATGGGTCGCGTCTGTACAGACTTGACCCTCCCACCCGCTCATACCCGAAAAGACGTTATATCTCTTCCTCGAGACTCACCTATGGGGTTGTGCCCTCTGATTATCCGTATGATTGTACGGTCCCCTTGCCCCCAGCCTTCCCCGTATGAAGGTGAGCCCCATTCCTTTTTGCCCCCTTCCCGACTCTCACCAGAACAGGTGGCCACACACACTGACCACAGCTTCCCGAGCAGTCTCCAGACATATATTACATTCGAAGGTCGCGCCCGCCCCGCCCCGCTCGCGGTTTGGCCCTTCGGGGCCCCCGTCCTCCTCCTCCGCTGCTGCCATGGCCAGTTCTGTTTCGCCCCCAAGTACCCTTAGTCCCCGAGAAGACACACTCAAGCCCCAACAAACGAGAAACCGCCTCCTGCTCACGATAGCTGGGGAGGCCTTAAGCTGTTTTAATCACTATTGGTCTGAGTACCTGCCAATCACGCAGGATTCAAAAGAAAGGATTGGTTCAGAGAGCAGGGATGAAGAGAAGTTTGCTCGGTCCTGCCCTTGCACAATAACTATTGGCTGATACAGTCGCAGTCGGTATGCACTGTCAAGGGATTGATAACGTCATACGTCCCGTTGCCGGGCCAGGGGAAGCTTTGTTCATCTTGGGTACTTGCCAGTCATAACCAAAGGCTAGAAGCCATTGGTTCTGGACTACATAGACCTCGCCCGCTATAAGCCCCTCTCTCTCCTTCACGTCCTCTTTCACAGAATGTCCGGATTCCTATTGGACTTTGGAGCGTATGGCTCCAAAGCAATTGATTGGCTAGAACTCGACGGAAAATGGTGGTTAGGTAAAATGCGCGTGCGCAACAGGCGGCGGGAAGGACTGAGCCAATCCTATGAGTGTTGAGCCTTCTCTGGTCTCACCCCTTCACCTCTAACTTGTCTCCATGGTGACTGCTTTACAACTGGCTGGGTTTGGGGGTTCAAAGGACTCGGCTCAGCCTCATCCGGGTCCTCTCGCTGTGGTTTTCTCTCTCTCTCTCTCTCTCTCTCTCTCTCTCTCTCTTTCTCTCTTTCTCTCTTTCTCTTGTCTCTCTCTCGGCTGATTGGGCCATTTATTTCGCCCTGATTGGCCGAGATCGGAAAAGACGGCGAAGAGCTCAGAAAAGAGGGCAAATACTAGGGTCGCAGGGTTCAAAATGGCTCCGGCCTCCTTTGGCGGTGTAGAGAGCAGAACTTGGGTCCGCCCCTACCTCTTAGGAAAGAAAGGAACAGAACTGGGATTAGCCCGAGGTTTGGATGCTGTGTGCATCGACCTGGTGTTAACTCACATTCCTCGGCTGGACGACTCAGCCCGCCCCTCTCTAGGTGATTTACAGAGCAGAGCTGAACTAAAGGCACACCCACTTTTTAAAGTGACACAGTAGAACAGAGTTAACCTCGACTCCGTTTTAAACCTTAACAGCAGAAAAGGCCTAGCTCTACCCCTTTGTGAGTGGGTGTAGAGGGACAAGCCCCGCCCCCTTTTAAGGCTACCCGGGGCGGAATGGGATTAGGCCCGCCCCTTCTTTGTAAAGTTCCCAGGAGAACTGGGGTCTTCATCCTGGGTTGGACCCCGGGATTTAGGCAAGCTGCTTCAGAGTTTGTGCCTTTGTTCTACAGTCAGTGTGGCCCAAGGAACAGAACTAGGTAACAGCCCTCCCACTACCAGTGTTCTTTACATCTTCTTCCTCAGGGCCTGTAAACTCAGGCAGGGCAAAGGTGTCTGGGGGCCGGGGACGGGGCAGGCAGCGCCTGAGGGCAGTTCACCAGCAACCAGATCAAAGGTCCCACGTGATTCAAGTGAGGAAAGGTGAGAAGTTGGAAGTTGCCAGGGCAGGGGAGGTGAGGGTTCAGGAGTTCTGTGGAGGTTTAGAAAAAGCTACTGAGAGGTGAACAAGGAAGGAGTGATGGAATGATCCTGGTAAAGGACTAATGGGAGTATGGAGAACGAGGGCTGCAGGGGGGGCTAGATACATGGCTACGAAATTAAGGAGGCATGTTTATCCCAGAAGAATCAGCATTCTTCCTCACTTTTTTTTTTCCCAAGAAAGCAACCCTAATGCCCAGTTTCCATTGTAAGAATATATGCACCCAGATTCTATGTTGGGGAGAGGGGTGGTCTCAGCTTAGGTGAGTAAAGAGACTAACAGAAAGTAGAAAAGGTACTGAGGCTAGAGTATGGAAAGACAGGGGCAAAGAGAGGGCCTGAGAGTATCCTTTCTCTTTGAAGAGGGGGTGGTGTGGAGGAGGGAGTTGGACTGCTGGGAGACAGTGATGGGGACAAAGTGCAAAGAGACCAGACTAGAGAGCTGGAGGGTGAAGTGAGGAGGTAAGATGGAGACCTGGAGGGATAAAGAGAAGTGAAGAATTCAGTGTTTGGCACATCGTAGGTGCTCGATAAGTATTTGGAATCGGGGAACTGGAAAGGGAGTCTTGGAGAAGAGTTGGACGAAAGCAGATACGGGAGTTAAGGGGAAAGGAAGAAATCGAAAAAAAGTGACAATAAGAGTGGTGATGGAGACTGAGAAGGAGGAATGGGCCAAGGAAGGAATACAGCACGAAGGGACATACAAGTCGTGTGTGCTGAAAGGAAATTTCGTGCAGCTGGAGACAGAGAAGGACAGGCAGAGCACAGCCGAGCTCTCCAGGAGCGGAGCTAGCAAGAGGAGACCGGCAGATGTGGGGAGGAGATGCCTGGATGCCTGGGAGGCGATTGGCAAAATAGGCCGCCCGTCACCGCCTCCTACTTCCTGACCAGCCCCGGAAACCAGCAGGCGTTGGGGAGGGGGGGTAAGCGGCAGCAGCAGCCCCAGCCCTTAGAGAGTCTGCAGGAAGGGAGGGTGGGAGCTAGGAGGACAACCCCCCACCATTCCTACCGCTATGGGCCCAGCCTCCCACTCCCACCTCCCCTCCATCGGCCGGGGCTAGGACACCCCCAAATCCTGTCGCCCCCGTGACACCGACACCCCGACCGAGGCAGAGACACAGCCACCCGCCACCACCGCTGCAGCAGCCTGGCTGGGGAGGGGGCCAGCCCCCCAGGCTCCCCACCCCACTGAGGTGGGGGCAGGAAAGGGATGGGAGGAGGTGGGAGGGGGTGCTGAAAGGGACATGGAGGAGAGGGTGGGGGAGAGATTGGGTCTGGGAGGGCAGACGGGAAAAGGATTGCTGCGAAAAGAATGAGACCTGACTGGGGAGAGGGTTGCTGGGGAAAGGAGACGGGGCATGAGGGAGGAATGGTGGAGACCCCGTAAATTCAGGATGGGGGTGTGGACAGGGAATCCTGGAAAGGGAATTCTTGCACCTTCCTCAATTCCTTTTCTTGCCCTTTGGCCTCACATGACTCCTGGGGGATTGTGGCATGGAGAAGGCAGTTTATTGCTCTTCTTCTCCCAACATAATTTGCTTCCTAGGAATGCTCTCAGACAGGTCTGTTTCCATCTAGGTACAGGGCCTCTTGTTTTTCAGTGGCCTTCCACACCGCTGGACCCTTACTGACACACAAGTGCCTTGTGGGGGGCTATGTTTTCTACATTGAGTCTGTGTACCTTTGACATATTCAATGGCTTGTGTGCAGCTAGGTTGTCCTATGCTGTCTATGGGTTGTGCAGAAATGGTGCGTTATTGTTATTTTTTATCACAATTACCCATTCTCATATCTTATGTCCATGTCTCAGGTCTAGTCTTGACACTTTCAAGTGTGTGTTTCATATACATATTACATCTATTATTGGTTTTACTTCTTACACATTATGTTTTTGCACATTTAGTGCATAAACATTATACCTTATATTGTTTGAGCTCACATGTTATGTCCATGGTCCCGCTATATGCAGTAGTCTTCGTGTGTGGGCTTCCATGGCTTAACTGACTAGCACATGCCCATTTTCTGATTGGATTGGCCTCTTTGCTTTTTCCCAGTCAGGGTTCACACTGCACATATGTGTGCCCTTTGCATCATATGCTGATGTGACTTGTCCAAAGCATGTGTGCTTATGGTTACACATACTATTTATTTTACTGGAAGTATATTTTGGGAGCTGTGTGCTCATTACCTATTTGGTGCTCCATTGTGTTTATAAATCCTTGGATCTTTCTATTCCAGAGAGGGTCACTTAATTTTACTCATTAGAGATGGGTAACTGGGCCTCCCCAAAGAACATCCCCATATGCTTTACCTTGCTCACATCTCTGGCCTGTTTGTCTCTTCCTGCACATTCTTTCTCTAGTGGCTGTGTGCAGTCTGTGTCCCATGGAGTTCAGTGCATTCCACAGGGTCAGTTTTGCCGTGCACATTATCCCCAACTCTGCACTGTTGGCATGTATTTGATGACAACAGCATCATCCTCTTGTGGCATGTTAATCCCCATTCTGTATGTTTCTCCTGTGTGTACAGTGGTATGTGCCTTCTTAATCTGCCTTCATTATATGGCCATGTATCGAATGTGTGTATTCAGAGTAGGTTACTATTAGTCTTGGTATGTTCACTGCTTCTGAGTGACTTTTCATAATAGTCCTCAAGAGGGTAGCTATTTTATTCATGTTCTGAACTCTCATCTCTGTGTGGGTATGTATACAGCCTTATGATCTGTACAGCAAATGTTTATGAGTGCTTTCTCTGCCTCCTTCTGTCCTGGGCATTGCAGATAAGACAGAGTCCCTGTCCTCAAGCTAAGTACAGACTAGGAAGGGAAACAGAAATGCCAGTGGGCAGTTATACACAGTGTGGTGTCAAGAACAGTGTTAAAATACAGATTGATGGACCGAACACCCAGAATTTCTGAGGTACAGTCCAAGAAGTTGCATTTTCACACTTTGAGAACCAGTGATCAAGATAAAAATGTAATGGAAACTCAGGTCTGGAGGGGTTCAGGAACACCTCCAAAATGTGCCACTGAGCTGAGTGAGGCAAATGAAAAGAAGTGGAAGGGCTTTCCAGCCAAAAGAAACAGCACGTTCATGACACGCGAGCATGAAAGATTATGGTATGTCTGAGGAACTAAAGTAAATCAGTGGGGTAAAAACGCATTTGTGGGCATGTGGCCAAAGATGTAAGCAGAAATCAACTTGTCAAGAAAAGCCTTTAGGCAAGACAGGGAAATGCCAGATTTGTGTTACAGAAAATCTCTGTGGTTGTCTGTGGAAGACTGATTGGAGAGGAAGAGTTAGGAGTCTGTTGCAAATAGTTGAGGGGAGAAACGCTGTTCTGAACTTGCAGGGGCAATGGGATGGAGCAGCTCAGAAGCCTACCATTTTAGAGCTGGCAGGCTCCTGTTTCCTGTATTGCCTGTTACCTTCATTCTTGGCAATGGGCTTACCTTTGAGCACAGCCTGTCCTGTCGTTGGAAGGGAGTGCCTTTGGCCTTGATAGGAATGACTAGTATTTGTCTAAACACAGATTTTGTGAATTGTGACCCTGCCCCCAGCCATGGGGCAGGCAAGTGGAGGAAGGAGGAAGAGCCTAGAAGGCAGGTCCTAGGTACCTGTGCCTCTTCCTCCTGAACTTTCCCAAGGCAGGTAGTGTGATGTCCCTTTGACTCTCTGCCCTCTTTTTTTCTCTTCGTGAGGCCTTACCCTCTGTTCCTGCCTGACCAAACTGCCCCCAGTGTTGTTGGAAGTGGTGGGATTTGTTTGCCTTTTTGTGGAGGCAGGATTGATGGATGTAGTTACTCCTGGTATGTCCATGGCTTTATCTGGGAATGGGGGCAGGGCACTGCCTGGGTGGAGAGAGGTTTTTCTAGGTATGCGTTTCCAATCCTTCATCTGTCACTGGGTATGATTGTAAATTTGTGTGTGTGTGTGCGAACAAGTCAATCTTTGTATGACCGTGTGTCTGTGTTTGCATTCGTGACAGAGCCTTTATTCTTGCCAGTCAGCCCTTGAGAATGTCTGTGGGTGTTTGATCACTTACACTGTATCTGCTGTGTGCTGTCTATGCACCTGTGTATATACATACAGGCGGCAGTGTGACTCGATGGTTAGGGACACAAGCTTCTTAGGTTTAAGCTAGGACTTGCTTCTCAGTAGCCATATCACCTCAGGTAAGTTATTTAACCTCTCTGTGCCTGTTTCCTGTAAAATGTAAATTTTGTGGTTTAACATAATATATGATATATAGAGACAAGGCCTCTCCAACACAAATATAATGCAAGCCACATATGTAATTTTTAATTTTCTGGTAGCTACACTGAAAAAGGTAAACAGTAACAAGGTGAAATTAATTTTAATAATATACTCTGTTGAACCCAAAAAATTGCAGTTTTAGAATTTAATCAATATAATTATTAATGGAATATTTTACATTGTATTTTTCAGTCAAAGTCTTTGAGATCTGTTGTGTATTTTACACTTCAGCACATCTCAATTTGGACTAGGCCACATTTCAAGTGCTCAGTAGCCATATGTGGCTGATGGCTGTTGTAGGTGCAGACAGCGCAGATGTAGACCATTATAAGACCCTGACCAGTGTTAGCTCTCATCTTTATTGTCCTTTTATTATCATGTATCCGACTTGTGGAAGTACAGGTCTCGTCTCTTGTCTGTCTGAATATGTGGAGCCTTCAGAGTGGGGTGGGAAACCAATCCTGAGCACCCATCCCCACTGCCCCCATCCTAAAGATGCTTCCTCGGTAGGTTTAGGTGAGAACTCTGGCCCCATCTTGTGTCTCCTGCCTTCTGTGCCTTACTTGCCCCACCTCGCTCCAGCAATCAGGCCAACTGTCCCTCGCCCCATCCCTTGCAGGTGACCAGAATGGAGCTGTGGCCAGGGGCATGGATGGTGGTGCTGCTGCTCTTCCTGCTGCTGCTCTTCGTGCTGCCCACCCTGTGGTTCTGCAGCCCCAGTGCCAAGTACTTCTTCAAGATGGCCTTCTATAATGGCTGGATCCTCTTCCTGGCTGTGCTCGCCATCCCTGTGTGTGCTGTGCGGGGACGCAATGTAGAGAACATGAAGTGAGAGCCAAGGGGTGTTGAGTAATGAGGGAATCTAAGGGTCAGAAGTGAACGGTGGATGGGGAGGGTGGAGCGTGTATAGGAGAGACAGAGGAACTGGACAAGGAAGGGGAGAGGACTGTAGATGCCCAGAAAGAGTAGGGTTAGGGGAGCTGAGGCATGGATGTCAGTTGATCCTGCTGGAACCCCTTGCTGTGACCCCATAGGATCTTGCGTTTGATGCTGCTCCACATCAAATACCTATATGGGATCCGAGTGGAGGTGCGAGGGGCTCACCACTTCCCTCCCTCACAGCCCTATGTCGTCGTCTCCAACCACCAGAGCTCCCTGGACCTGCTTGGTGAGACCCCTCATAGGACACACCTCTTCTAGCCATGCCCTTCCTCCTGGTACCTTCCTCAGGATCTCCTCCCTTAGAGGTCCTCAGCTCCCCGTCATCTGGGATGTTGCCTTCTTTCCCTGGGGTAGAACTGCCCTCATAAGCAGGGTAGTAGATTTTTAGTCACCCTTCCCTCCGCTTGGGCCATCCCGCCCCTGCCTTCCAGTCTCCCTCTCCCTTTACATCCAGGCCCTTGGTAGTGAGGGTGATGACCTGGGTGAGGTGAGCTGCCTCTTGTGACACTGTGCCTCCATCCTGATCCTCACCCCATCCCCACCTCTGTCCCAGGTATGATGGAGGTACTGCCAGGCCGCTGTGTGCCCATCGCCAAGCGTGAGCTACTATGGGCTGGCTCTGCTGGGCTGGCCTGCTGGCTGGCTGGAGTCATCTTCATTGACCGGAAGCGTACTGGGGATGCTATCAGTGTCATGTCTGAGGTCGCCCAGACCCTGCTCACCCAAGATGTGAGTCACCCTGGGGATGTGGGTGTTTGGGGGTTATGGAGTAGCCTAGTTGTAAATGAACTGATACATAGGGCCAAGGGGCCTCAGAATCTAATTACAGCATCATAACCATTTTGCGACCCCTTTATATGTGTGTCTTCCTTGACCCTCTTTCTTTCTCAGGTGCGTGTCTGGGTTTTTCCTGAGGGCACAAGAAACCACAATGGCTCCATGCTGCCCTTCAAACGTGGCGCCTTCCACCTTGCGGTACAGGCCCAGGTGATTTCTTCCTCCCCTTCTGTTGCTGTGCCCCCAGCGCCCCACCATCCTTTCATTTCTGGCAGAGGCTTGTCGTAGGGGCCTCAGAATCAGAGCTGTGTGGACTGATTATCTTTCCTCCTTCCCCAGGTTCCCATTGTCCCCATAGTCATGTCCTCCTATCAAGATTTCTACTGCAAAAAGGAGCGCCGCTTCACTTCCGGTGAGGGCTCTGAGTGGCTCTGGGATAGGGGTGGCCAGAAGGGCCATGGGAAAAGCTAGAGGGATGTCGCCATAAAGCAGGAGCAGTCAGTGAGAACTGTGAGGTGTCCACAGGATCCCCTAGTACGGCCCCACATCAGCCAATAAGTATTTATTAAGCACCCACCACACCCTGCTAGATAGGTAACAGTTGGTCCCTCAAAGAGAGGCCATTACTGTCTAGCAAGAAAGATAAGGCCTTTGTGTGCAAACCTGTAACACTCAGCAGTAAACACTAAACCTAGACAATGGGGGATGGAAGGGTGCTGTGTCTGAACCGGGGTTTGAGGAAAGCTTTGTGCAGGAGGGCCTCAAACAACTGGTGGCAACTGGCAGGCAGAGTCGGGGGAAGAGAACTGAGAGGTTGAGGGGGAATAGCAGGAAAGCTCAGAAACTGGGCCCAACCTGTGGGCAAGGGCCTGGGTAGACAGGCTCTGATGGTGCTCACCCCCCTCCCAGGGCGATGTCAGGTTCGGGTGCTGCCCCCAGTGCCCACAGAAGGGCTGACACCAGATGACGTCCCAGCTCTGGCCGACACAGTCCGGCACTCCATGCTCACCATTTTCCGGGAAATCTCCACTGATGGCAGGGGTGGTGGTGACTATCTGAAGAAGCCTGGAGGAGTGGGCGATGCCCGGCTCTGAACTCCCCTCCCATCTACCCCCACCTCCTCCACACACCTATCAGCCCAGTAGGTCCTGAAGCGGGGCCCAGCCCTCTTCCTCATTTCCCCTCTCCTCACTAGGTCTCCTCTTTGGAATCTTCAACTTCTGAAGTGAATGTCCCTGTCCCTTCCCAGCTCCCCCCATGGACTCTCTTGCCTTGGTGCAGTCTCCACTCTGACCCCACCCACCTCCTGTGCCATCGTGTTTATGGGACAGTTGCCTCCCCCTCATCTCCAGTGGCTCAACCTACACAAGGGTGGGAGCACTCCATCCTGTCCCCAGTGGACCTTCTTCCTTTGTGGTCTTCTCTCCCTCTCCACCCCACATTGGCCAGTGGACTCATCCATTCTGTGGAACAATTCCCCACGCCCACCCCCAGGTCAATGGATTCAGTGGACTCATCAGTTTGTGGGGAGGACTCATGCTGTGGCTGGAAGCTGATGCCTGGGACACTCCTCCCAGTCTCCTCCTGGGAACCTTCCTCAGCACGTTCACTCTCCCTCCCGTGGAACCTCCTATCAGTGGAGGCTGGACTCTTCTCACTAGAGGTCGCATCCCTGCCCATGCCCAGGACTGAGCATATTTCTGGATGCCAGTTTGGCCTTCACATTTCTGCTTCCCCTGTTCCCATGGTACAGTTCTTCTGTGACCCTTGCTCCACCCATCCTCCTGCAGCACCATTCTGACCAGGCGCGGGGAAGAGGCAGACATTAGGTGCTGCACTCTCTGCTCCCTGGGTTCTTGGGAAAAAGAAACTGAACCCTGGCTGGAGGGGATGGGAGGGCTTTTAATTTATTTCTCTTTCTTTTGACCGCCCCCCCCCCCAGCCAGTTTTCATTTCCTCCCTGTGGCATTAGTTACTCCCTGCCTCCTGTCCCATACCTGTGCCCACAATGGGGAGGTGGGCTGGGAGCAAAAGGAGAGGGTGGGACTCAGTTTTGTGTGGTTGGTTTTTATTAATTACTGGATAACAGCAAGGAACTGAGAATAAAGATTGAGAGAGAGATCTGGACACTTTCCGTCTGCATTTGTTAAGGAGTTGAAGAAGCGGTTCCCACCCCCAGGCTATCTGCCCTGCTAGAAGACACAGAGGCTGGCCGAGACGCACCCTGCCCTCCTCCTCTATTCAGCTCTCTGAAGTTTCCATGGTCATTCCTCCTTAGTGGCAGATAACCTTATCTGCAACTCCCCAGCTGGTGAATCCCAAAGGATTAGTGGTTTCTGTATAAATTAGGCGGCAGGATCTCTGCAGAGGTTTCTCATCTCCGCCCATTGAGGCCTGGGCCCTGGCTATTGTCCTCACAGGAGCCTGGTTAATGACAAGGAGACAGGCAGACATGTTGGCTGTCGACTGCCTCCAGCCTAGAGTTGGTTTGAGTACTGGGAAGACTGACACTCTCGGCCAACAATAAGTGAAACCACCGAGTTGGGGACGGTGCCATAAGGGGTGATGAAGTGTGGCTATCTGGGGACAATATGGGGAGAGTGAGTGTTGGGGAAGGGTTTTTGGAAAAGAGAAACAATTGGGAAGAGCTGGGGCACTTGGGGATGGGGATCCCAGGTGAGAGGAGCATGAGGACTCACAGGTGCCTAGCCTCTCCTCCAGCAGCAGCACCTGGTTGCTGAGAGACTCTATCCTGTCACCTCGGCCCCACAGCTCTGCCACTTGTTCGGGCTGCAGCTCTTCAGGTGGCATGGGCAGCACCGCTCGGACCCAGGCCCCGGCCTGCCCAGTCCACTACAAAGGAAAAGACGCCTCAGGGTGTTGAGGATGGGGCGTGCCCTGCCCAGCCGGCTTTGCCCCAGACACCCCAGCTTACCTGCTCCAGCCTCTCCAGGCGCCCACGCAGCTCACCAACCTCCCGCCTCAGGGCGCACTCATCCTGTTCCACTTCCCTAACTGGAACAAAGGAGAACGTGACCACTGCCCAGGCCCAGCCGCCGGCCTGGCCCTCCCTGCGGCCCACACCCCCTCCTATCACCTGCCACGCTAAGGATGTTGGCACTGGTTGGGGGCTTCGAGGACCCCTCTGCGCAGGTGCGCCCGTCCGTGCCCAGCACCAGGTCGTGGGGGCAGCCACAAGTGAAGCTGCCTGCCGTGTTGAGGCAATGGTGCGAGCAGAGGGTGACGCCAGTCCTACATTCATCCACGTCTAGTTACCGGAAAGAGGAGAGGGCTGAAGGGGTGGGACGGGGGCGGGCGACCTGGTGAGCGGGGAGGGCCGTGCCACCGCTGGGGGAGGGCCAGCCAACTCACCCACGTGACAGTGCTTCCCACCCCAGCCCGGGGTGCACTCGCACTGGTCCGGGCGAATGCAGACGCCTCCGTTCATGCAGGGCTTGGCGCAGATGGCTGCAGGCGCAGGAAGGGTCGTTTGGAACGCGGCGCCTCCAGCTCCCAAGCCCCGCGGGGCGCTCCTCCCCCTAGGCCCAGGAATAGCCAGCCTCACCTTCATCACAAGTGAGCGCCCCTGGATGCTGCTTTTTCCAGCCCTGGCAGCACAGGGCGTGGGTCTGCCGCACCTCCCTCCTTACCTCCCGCCACGCCACGCGGTAAGTGGTCCTGGAACACAGCGCCCGGCTCTGGACCCTGGTATATGGGTCCTGGTTGGGGTTCTTGGGGTTCCTCTTGAAACACCCAAAATCCAGGTTCCCCATCTCTCACCTGTAGGTGCTACAGACGCGCCTTCCAGCGCACAGTGTCAGATAGGGCTTATACACCGGTTGGCTGTAGGACTCGTTGTAACGGAGTGGGACCATCAGCGTCTGCTTGGAGCAGACCCTCTGGCTGCACTCAAGCAGAAGAAGGTGGGAGACATTGAGTGGGCCAGACCCTGGAAAGTCCCAGGTCCCAGGTCCCTCTACACTGAGACTCCGCCCTTCCTCCAGGTGACAGCCTTACCCCCATTCTAAACTTGTTCTGCCACCTGTGAAGCCCCACCCCCAGCAGGTTTCCTGAAGACCTCACCCTGGCCCCACCCACTCTATTGTCACCTCTCTTTGAGGGATCCACCCTTGGACCCTTCGCTTGACATCAGTTGGAGAAGAAATGAGAGTCCACCTAAGAGAGTGCACAGCTCAGCCCTGGACCCCATGATTCTCGACACCAGACTGCCAGCTGCAGGCAAGAAGAGATTAATGAAGGCTCTTCCCCTCTCCTATTAACTTTTCCAGCTCCAGCCCCTCGAAGAGCAGTCCGCTGGTGCCCTCTAAGGGTGACAGGATATTCATTTGTACGCACTTGCACTAGTCACCAGGATTGTCAACACTTGCATGTACATTTAACTAACACTACCCCTTTCGCACATCATGGTCCATGCAGCATCATACTCCTTCCACCTCCCCTCTACACACACACAGTTAACCCTTCCCTCATGACCTTCCTATCTCTAACATGCCCTCTTCTACCTTAATCTTCCTACCTTCAAAACCTCAAGTATTCGCCCTACATCCTTTCCTTCCTTGCACATAAACCCACACCTGGAAACTCCACACCTTAAACACATTTCTACTCCCCTCACACACCCACTCTAATCACACAGACCCCTCGCTCAGACAACACCCCCCAACTCAACACTCACTCTGTGGCTCGGAATGACCCCTTCTCTTTCCCCATTGACATTCTCTCCCCACCTGCCTTTTCCTCTTGCCCCGAGACTTCAAGCCTACCAGCCTCAGCAGCAGCAACTCGGACTGGTGGGCAGGCTGGGCAGCTCCAAAGGATAGGAGGGGCTGGGCTAGACAGAGTCCTCCCATTCCTGCCCCCTCCCACAAGCCTCCTCTATAGCTCCAGCTTGGTCAGCTCAGTAGGGTTCAAGTCCCACTGGCAAAGGGCCCCCTATAAGTATCTTCCCAACCTTCTGAGGCCCCTTATTTCTGGACACCCTCCCCCAAATGAGCAGACTGGCTCTATAACACCAGTACCCTTGGCCCATGCCTCCTTCCTTCAACTTAACACAGACTCGGGGAGAATTGTGGGGCAGGGAGAGAGACAGAGCTGGGAGAGAACAAAGTGGGCTCAGGTCATGGGAGAAATGGCAAGATCAATTGGGGAAAGAAAGAAGGGCAGGTCATCACAGAGGGCAGGGGGCAGCCCAGGGCACTAAGGAGAAAACTGATCCCATTTCTCGGTGACATTTCTTAGGGCCTGGTGGGGCAGAATTGAGTCAGCCACCACCACTCCATGTCAGAGCAGACAGGGCCCTATTGTCTCTACCAAAATTCGTTCTTTCAACGAAGAGGAGGCTCATTGTTCAGCCCCTCACCCAGCTCTGGCCTATGAAGGTCAAAAAGGGGCTCAACAAAATGCCCACCCTGACCCTTAGCCCCATTGTCTAGCCTGGGGGTGGCAGACACATTCCATCCATGAGGCTGGGGCAAAAACCACTGAAGCCATGGGCTCAGCCCCCCCAATCCTAGGCTGGGACAGGAAGAGAATTGTCCTTAACAGGAAAGAACCCACAGAGAATCAGGAACCCACACAAAATGGGCATTGAGAGAGCGGAAACACCAAGGGGGGGGTCCCACCCCAGACCTGGCATCCGGGCCTTGGGCTCTCCATCCCCACCCTCTTTGAAAATGAATCCCCTTCATCTGGAAATGAGCCAAGCTACACTGAGGAAATGGAATTTTATTTCCATAAATATAGGGGTAACACCCATTCTAGGGTAGCTAAAAGGGGTTAGGGCCTCAAACTAGGCTCCTAGGGGTACCCCAACACTGAACATAGGGACTGGGGGATCCCCAAACCTGAGATGGGCCTTGCAGGCCACAGATATTCCCCAACACTGACACTTTAAGAATGGAAGTGTCCCCATAGGGGAGCCTCAGAACCCCACTCTCATGGGTAGTCTTTCTTGGGAGTTGGGAGGGCAGATGACAGGGGAGTTCAGAGGAAAAGGGAACGTGGCAAGAATAGAAGCTAAAAATGTCCTGAGTGGCCTGAAAGGAGACCCCTGTGTTAGGCAGGGGCTGGGTTCTCCTCCTATATAGCCAGAGATGGAGAAGCAGCAGCAAAAGCAGCCACAAGTTAAAAACCTGGTTTCTCACTTCCCAACCTCAACCTTGGGAGGATGGGAGAGCATGGAGCAACCCCCAGATGAAGACATGAGGTGAGGAGGACCAGGATTTGTCATTCGAGGAGCAGAAGAAGGGGGTCCTGGGAGCCCTGGTTGGTGAGGGCAGTGTGGGAGCAATGACGCGTTCATAGGCACAGCAGAGCCTGACATCTGCTTTCCAAGGCCACCACTTGGTCTCTGAGCCAGGTTGTTCCTGGGGGATCCCTGGGGACATCCTCAGGAGAGCCAAGGTTCAATGCAGGTTTCATAAAGGGTGCGGTTGGAGTGCCAGGCTGTGTGGGCAATCCCAGCCATTGGACACCTCACTATGGCCCCCCGGGCCAAGAGAGTCTTCAACCCAAAAGAATCCCGCAGATAAACCTTCAAGGCAAGTGAAGGGGAACGGAAGAAAGACAAAGGGAGAGATAAAGTGAGTTCTTGCTGGTATCCCAGGCTCCCTGCCCACAGGGTGAACCCTTCAGCTTATGGGTCAGTGGCAGGGAGGGCTACAGGTTGAGGTGGGACGGGGCATGAAGACAAGAAGAGGGCAGGGCAGGGGCGTGGCGGGGGGGGGCAGGGGCAGTGAATCCCAGAGACTCACCAATTGCTCCTCCATCTCCAAGACCGTCTCATTTGCATCATAGAAACCGAAGAAGCTACAAAGAGATTGGGGGAGGGGGGAGGGGCGGAGGGTTATCAGGATAGCTGGAGAGAAAACCAAGGTGGGCTAGGGCCCTTTAGGAACTCAAAGCCTGTTGGGAAGACAGGCAGCAGGGAGGACACTCAAAATATTTAACTGGACATCATGTACCTCATGAGGTGATGCCCTGAGGATACAGCATCACTTCTGCCAAATTCCTGTCAAAAATGCCTAATCTGAATCTAATCATGAGAAAATAGCTGGCCTATAGTTTCAAAAATATGCCACAGACAAAGACTGAGGATGTATTCCCAGATTAAGAGACTAAAGAGACATGACAGCTAGATGCAACGCAGGACCCTGGAATGGATGATCTTGCACTGAATTTTGTTTTTCTAAAAAGACAATTAGAAAAATTTGAATAAGGTCTATAGAGTACCATATCAATGTTAATTTCCTGATTTTGATAATTGTATTGTGGATATGTAAAACAGTGTCCTGTACATAGGAAAAACACAGACATACTAAAGTTTTAGGGGTAAAGAGACATTATGTCTACAACCCACTCTCAAATGGCACACACACACACAGACACACACAGAGATGATGCTGACGTAAACATGGTAAAATGTTAACATTTGGGAAATCTAGGTGAAGAGTGTACAAGACTGCTTTGTACTACTTTGGTAACTTCTTAAATATGAAGTTATTTCAAAATAAAAAGGTCTTAAATTTTTCTTAGTTAAGGATATTTGACATAGACACTGAGTGGACACGGCCCATGAATAACTTGAACAGATGCCAATAACATTAAGTCCAATGGGCTACAGAAGCAAAGATGGGAAGCCACTGCACTAGTTTTAGGTTTCCCAGCAATGACCCTGAACTAGGAAAGCCTGTCCTAGGCAAAGGGAATGGCAAGAGCAAAGGCACAGAGGCGAGGCACAGCTGGGTACATGAGGGAGTTGGGTTGGAGACCTGGAGGCCATGTTGAGGGGCTAGATTTCATAAAGAGCATTAGGGACACACAAACCTACATTTGAACTCCAGCTCTGCCATACACACAATGTGTGCAGCTGAGCTTGTTATGTATCCCCTTTGTCCTATATAAGAAATACCTCCTTTGTAGAGAGGAAATAAAACACTGTGGTTAAGACAGATAGTCTGACTTCACCACTTACTATGAGCGTAGGCAAATTAATCTCTTTGAATCCAAGTTTCCTAATATGTAAATGAGGATAATAGTAATCACTCATAGGGTTGTGAGGATTAAATGAGCTTTATTTGAAAAGTGTCTTGGGACATAAAAGGTGCTATATAACAGCTATTACTACCTTCATAGGGTTGTTGTAGATCTGAAATGAAATATAAACAAATCTCATCTCTTACTGTTATTATAATGGATGTTACTCCTTCACTCAAAACCCTCCAATGCCTTCCCATTTCACTCAGGATAAAAAGTCAAAGGTTGTGGTTGCCGAGGGCTGGGGGGAGGCAGGGATGAGGAGTTAGGGTTTAATGGGTATGGTATTTCAGTTTGAGAAGAAAACAAAAGTTCTGGAGATGGATGGTGCAGATGTTACACAATAATGTACTTGATGCCACTGAACTATACATTTTAAAATGGTACGTTTTATGTTCTGTATATTTTAGAGAAAAAAAAAAAGAAATCAAGGGCCTAACTTTGCCTACAAAGGCTCTACATAACTGGCTCCATTTCCCTTTCAACCTCCTCTTCCCAGCTCCTTGCACTCTAGCCACACTGGCCTCCTTGTTCCTCACTCTGCCACAGGGCCTATGCAGGAGCTACTTCTCCCTTGGTTGTTCTTCCCCCAGATTGTTGCACAACTCCTTCATTTCCTTCAGTCTCTGCTCAAATGGCATATCTTCCAGGAGAAGTTCTCTGGCCACTAACTAAAATAGGCTCCAGTCATCTTCTAATCCAGGGGTCCCCAATCCCCGGGCCATGGACTGATACTGGTCCGCGGCTTGTTAGGAACCGGACCACACAGCAGGAGGTGAGTGGCGGGCTAACGAGTGAAGCTTCATCCGTATTTGCAGCTGCTCCCAAGAGCTAACATCATGGCCTCAGCTCCACCTCAGATTGTCAGGCATTAGATTCTCATAGGAGTTTATGGCCATGCTACCCTGAGCAAACCCAATCCCGTCTGATCTTGGAAGCTAAGCAGGGTGGGGCCTGGGTAGTGCTTGGATGGGAGACTACCTAGGAAGGCCAGGTGCTGTAGGCATAAAAAAAAATAAGAGATTATAAGCTGACAAGGTCCTTGCAATCTGTGAGGTCAACCAAGGGTTGCCTCACCTAAAAAATTAATTAATTAATTAATTTAAAAAAAAAAAAGAAAAGATTCTCATAGGAGCACCAATCCCTGGTATGGAAAAGTTTGGGGACTGCTGCTCTAATCCCTTCCCCTGCCTTATTTTATTACCACCTGACATATATATTTACATTTATTATCTGTCTCCCCTACTAGAATGTAAGCTACGTAACAGCAGGGACTTCTCTTTCACTTACAGCTGCATTCCCAGGGCCTAGAACAGTGCCATGGCACATAGTGCTCAATGAGTATTTGAGCGACTAAAGTAGATCAGGTAACATTTCAGATCACTCATGATGATCTGTAACAGAGACATACATGTAGTGCCATGGAGCCATGGATTTTCCTGAGGAATGGGATGGAAGGAATGAGTATGGAGTCTATTACAGTAGTCCAGGTAAGTAAAAGAGGTGGTAGAAATGTGATAAAATGACATGGAACTATCTACACATATTATACCAATGTCAGTTTCCTGATATTATGCTTATAGTTACATGGGATGCAACCACTGGGGAAACTGGATGAGAGATAGACAGAACCTATCTAAACCATCTTCAATTTCCTTTAAAGCCATAATTAATTCAAAGTTAAAAGTTTTTACAAAACAGGGGTGGTAGGGATGGAGAGGAAGTAGAGTCAGCAGGACTTAGTAACTGGCTAGATACAAGGGGCTGGGGGATGACTCCTAGGTTTTGGTTTTGGATGGCAGGATAAATGGAGGGTGGAGGACATTAGCTGTACAGTGAGAACAGTTTTAGGCACAAGGTGAAGACTGGTGGGGGTTAGGGGCTATTCTTAGCCAATCTTCAAGCCACACAGTCCCTTATTACCTGGACTGCCAGGGGGTAATAACACCATCATCAGGGCCCCCAATCAGCACAAGGTAGCCCACGCGAAGAAAGTTCTTCCGCCATGCTGCAGGTTGGGTAGAAGAAAGCCTGAGTCAGTCACAGGGGTCAGGCCAATTTGGAGAGGGGAACACAGCGGGTTAGAAAAGCAGAAAATGGGACACAAAAAGGAGCCTGGGGTCTCACCAGTGGCATTGGGATGATCTCTTTCACCATTGATCAGGGCCAGGAAGCTGCTGGCATTGAGGTACAAGTCATCGTGGTGGGGGTCTGGATACAAACAACATTTAGAAAGATAGAAAAACAGGGAGAGGTAAGACCTGAGCTGAAAGACCACTCATAGACAAAGTGAATAGTAATATAATGTAGCAACAATAATAATTGTAAACCTGATAGCAATGACCTTTATCTAGCACCTACTATGAGCCAGGTACCGTTCAAAGTACATTACATTCATTAATTTCTTTAATCCTCACAACCACCCTATAAGGTAAATGCTATATTATTTTACAGATGAGGAAAACTGAGCCACAGGAAGGTTAAGCAACAACCAAAGTCAGGGTTAGGCAAAAACTACATAGTATTTGTATACTATGACCCATTGGCCAAATCTAGCCCCCTGCTTGTTTCTGTAAATAAAGTTTTATTGGAACACAGATACTCATTCATTTCATATGGTGTAGGCTGCTTTCACACTAGTATGCCAGAATTGAGTAGTTGACAGAGTCTACATGGCCTGCAAAACTAAAAATATTTACTATCTGGCCCTTCAGTGAAAAAGTTTGCCAACCTCTGAACCAAATTATTTTCTGAAACAATAGGTGATACTCATAAAGCATTTTGAACAGTGCCTGTTTACAGAGTAAATATAAGTTATCATTATTATTATTGATGTTTCTTATGGTAGAGGGGGGAGCAGCAGGCCTTACTCTCCAGGGTACCCTCTCCATGAAGACCGAATTTAGCATCCCCTACTCACCATGCCAGTAGTTACATATGGAGAATTCCTGGCCCCAGGGGCTATAGCAGATCCGGTAGAGGTTAGACCTCATGGAGGTAGGGAACAGCCACTTCAAGTAGTCAGTGTCTGGCAAGAGAACAGCAATGCCAAGTGGCCCCAAACCTTTGTGCCTTCAAAGCTCGGGGCCCCTATGGAACCCACAGGACCCACTTACCTCCATACTGTCCCATCTGTGGAGAGGAGAGAGAGATGAAAGAATCTACATTGTGCTCATCCATCACAGAGAGCAGTGCCCGGCACACCAGACCCCCTGTAGACGAAACATTACAACGTACAAAAAGAAGACCGAGGCCCAGAGAATGAAGGCACAACCTGTGGCAAAAAGTCCCACATCATGTAAGTGACAGAGCCAGAATTAGATTCTGGGTCTTCTGACTCTAACTCTAGGGTGCTTTTTATTGCCCCACTATCCCTTAGGTCCAAGAAACACGGGTATTGGGGAAAGAAGGGGGGCAGTGATGCTGCGAGCCTCCCTCCCATTCAGGACACACACTGAGATGAGACTCTGGTGCTGTGGGGAGTCAGAAAAGGTGGGCTCAGGCACTAGGGCCCTGGCTGCAGCAATGTGGTTCAGAAAAGGGGGCACTAGGAAGTGTCCCTCAGATAAGAATCAAGCTTCAGAGAGTGCTTAGGAGTTTGGGGGAGAGGCACCTACCCTGTGAGTAGCAGATGAGATGCACTCCTTGAGGGGCCTTTGCCATGATGGGGGCCACAGCCTCTCGGAACCCTTGCACCTGTTCCCACAGTGGCCTCAAGCTCTCTCTCCCATCGAAGAGATCGAGCACTGTCACCACAGTCCCAGGGTGTGTCTGTAGGAAGGGGACAATGCTGCAACCAGAGATGGACTATGAAGCCCCTTCACACCACCCCCGATCAGCACCCACTTGCTTATTGTGCCCTGCTAGAACCAGGGATCTCGTCCCTCACCCAACTCTCCCCACGCCAGCACCAGCTCCAAAGGAAGGAATCGGCCCAGAGGGGCGACTTTCAGTTCCGCATTCTCCCTCCCCAGCCACTGTTGACGCCTCCAGCTCCCCACAACCAAGTGCCTGCTGCCAGACCTCGTTGATGTATTCCAGCAGGTGGCGGAAGCTGTATGAGCTGTCAAAGAGCCCGTGCACCACGATGACCGGCTTGTAGGAAGCGCGATGGGGCGCGGGGGCTGCATGCGACGGCAGCAGTAGGAAGGGCAGCAAGAGCAGGATCCCCGCCGAGGGGAGCCGTGGCCCCCGGAGCCCTAGCATGCTCTCGCCTGAGAAGAAGCGATGAGGGCCTGTGAGAGAGATGACAACGTCCCCTCCTCTCGGAACAGACAAGGGGCAATCAAGCCTCCCACACCCGTGCCCACACCAGGTCCTTGTCAGGAGCTAGCCAACTTTTAACTTACTCCAGTCCTCTCTCCAGCAAACACACCCCCTACCGGGTAGACGCACCAACGTGCACCCGAAGCCCCGCCCCCAACTCAGCCAGGACCCCTAGGCCCAGGATCTTCTCTAAAGCATGATCCTAGCTATGCACAACCCAAGGTTTTGCAAGAAAGACCCCTGAGCTGCAGCGCAGGTCTCCTGGAGAGTGCAAACTCCCACCTGGCCTGGCGCCGAAGCCTCACTCCGCCTGCTGTTCACTTCTCCCTTAGTCTGGAACCCATGGGGGAGGGGAAAGTGGTGAGAACAGCGCAGGGGAATGACGGATAGGAGAGGGGCGGCTGCTTGGGGTCGCGCTCAGCCGTCACGTCCGGGGCTTTCCCTGGCAACCGTGCCAGCGTCCCCAGCAACGCAGGCCCGGGACCGGAGGGGCAGTGGAACTTTCCACTGTGCTCTAGGAGCAGGGGGAGGAAATAAGCGGAGCGATCCATTTAGACCGGTGAGGAGAGAAAGAAGCAGCAAAGAGATCCTGGGAATAGAGAGAAAGCCTCTCCAGGCCTCGCTATACCCAGGATTCCGATTTCACCGCCTGGATTCGCTGAACTTCCCAATTCTAGGGTCCCGCTCCGCAGCGGAACCCGGTGTTCTCTTTCGGCAGAGAAGAGCTGGGGGAATGCCTGGGGAAAGGCAGTCCTTCGCACTTCGTCGTCCGCCTGCTGAGGGCTGGACCCAGTCCTAGCAGACCCCACCCCACCCCACCCCACGCCACCCCTGCCATCCTGCCTCAGATCAGCCTCTTACAACTCTTCATTCTGAAGTGCGTGTAGTGCCCTTGTCTCCAGAGACTCGGAGAGTCCTCGAGGCCCTTCGGGCTAAAAGAGCAGTCTGGCCCAGTTTCTCCTGCCCTGCTCTACTCAGCTCCCCATAAATGATCCACCCCCAAGGGGCGGAGGGCCCCTGAAGCAGCACTGACTCACACTTGTTAGCCTGGTTTGACTAGACTTTCAATCTGAGCGACCCCCACAATCCAGCTTTTAGCAGGGAGCTCCTGTGGGCGGCTCCCTACCCAAACCCTCCCACCCAGTCCAGACTTCCAAGCTCCAGGCATTCCCCCATCTCTCCAGACCCAATACACATGAGGAATAGAGTGAAGAAATTAAATGGACTCACTATAGCCAAGCTGCTAAATTACTATAATCAAGTAGGTTTCGGTATGAAGAAACGATTCTATCCTTGTTTTAACTTAAACTTTTGAACTTCTCAGTCCTGTGTCAATGCCTGCATACGCATCAGACCTCCAGATAATGTTCTGATTACCCTCTGAAGGACTAAGGAAAGAACCTTCAGATACCGGACTACCTGACATCTATCATCCAGACCACTGGTCATTTCCAGGATTAGCATCCTAGATCAATCCAGAGGCTAAGAATGCAAAACTGATTCTTCTCAAGAATATACTTTTTACTGTAAGATCTCAGCTTTTCTTTCTTCTTCAGAACACTCTGGATATTGCCTAATTGTGTTAACCTATTTATAAACCCTAAGACCCTTGAATAAATCTTTGTCACTTATTTTTAGCAAAGCCTCCAGACTCTTTTTGAGTTCGTTGGACACCCAGGTGCGCCATTAGGGCTTTTACTTAGCATTTAAACATATTTCCCTTGAGAAAACAATTTTCCAGCTTGTCTGAATCCCTCCCTTTGTCCACAGAGTCTTTGCCAGTCTAAAGTCTCTTCCAATAAAACCAATTTGAGCCCTGAGTTGTGCAGAATGAGGATGAGA